TCTTTGCAAGTTCAATTTACTAATGTTGGAATTACGTGTACTTTTCAAGCACAAGTACAAAACGTACCCGTCTAGTATTTTTTTATATCCATATAAGGTATTTCGAAAATTACATGTAGTACATGTAAGAGGTTCTTGAACATGTAAACCTGCATAATTATATATATCGACGCGAAGGAAAGTGATAAGTATTTTTGCGGTGGGTATTTTTTTTTTGTCGTCTGACTTGCAAGTAGTTACAAAATTTCAAAAACATACAACGTAAGGGCTACATGTACATGTAGGATGATTAGAATTGATAAAATAATCTTTCCCTATATACATGTATTTAAATCAAGCTATTTATTAAATTTTGGTAAAAGATTAATTTAAAAAAAAATGTCATAGAAGTTAACAAAATGAGATTTTTTTCCTCTAATTTACGTATTGACATAATGCACATTTATGCTGTACAATGTACATTTAATTTTTTTCATGATCAATTATTAAGATCGATAATTTCGATGGTGATCCATATAAATTAAAACGTGCATGTAGATTGAAATAATAAATAAAAATAATTAAATTAAAGCACGTACATAAATTAAAGCACGTTCTTATACTGTATCTTGAGATTCTATAGTTTATCAGAGACCAGTTTTTTTTTTTTTTTTTTTTTGTTTTTTTGTTTTTTTGTTTTTTTTTTTGTTTTTTTTTTTTTTTTTTTTTTTGTTTTGTTTTTTGTTTTTTTGTTTTTTGTTTTTTTTTTTAAGTAACAATCGTTATAACCATTATTATCTTCTTTTTTCTTTTATGAATTGAAGTACTTATTGTCTGATAAATTTACGCAATACATATTTATATATTAATGGATTTTAAGAATATAAAGAAAATAAATATGTAACTATACATGTAACATGCTACCTGGATAATAAAAATATATAATGTATTAATAGATTTTAAAAATAAAAAAATAATGAAAATAGATATGTAAATATTGCATATTGTCTGGAGAATTAAAATATATGAATGTAAAATCATGTTTAAAAATCATATTAATAATATTTTTATTATTCACACGCTTTGCTTGTACAATGTTTAGATTACAAACTGGCATGTTGACTGGTCGATGCGCTGATGGTCAATGCATTTTATCACTTATCCTGATTGTCAGACCTGTTCGGCATGTTGATTGGTCGACGCGCTGATGAGTTAATCGCTAATCCTGATTGACAGCTCTGTTACGCAACACCGAACGCGCGTTCGCTTTCTGGGACCGCTACTGAATTCGGGGTTCGCTTTCTGCGTTCGCTCTGGGTCCGCTCTGGGTTCGCTGCGGGTTCGCTACGGGTGCGCTCCGGGTTCGCTCCGGATCAGCACTAGCGGACCCCAAGCGAACCCGAAGCGAACCCAGAGAGCGAACCCGGGGTGCGCTCTGGGTTCGCTTTCTGTTAGGTTGTGTCTGGTCGGTACTGTATGTACCAAAAAGTACATGTTTAAGGCAAAATTCTCTACTAATTCACCCATTACAATCCCTTCTGAAATAGCAGATCAATAAGACTTTGTATTATTGTCAATAAAAAAGCTTTTGTTATTTTTGCCTCATTTTTTCAATATTTTTTTTCTATTTGCTCCGAGATGAATCTAGAAAAAAAAACACATGAAAGATAATTCATTCCTCAATTTCAATTTACAGATACATGTAATACATTAATTTATATTGCTTAAAGTAAACTTTCTTTTCAAGACAATCATAATTAATTCAATTTTTTTATTAATGATATGAAATTTAAATCATTGACCCTTTTTTATGCATGTGAAATATTTTGTCTTTGTACCAAATTTCTGTGATCATGTCACTTTAACTTTAAAAAAAAAATAAAAGAATAAGAACACGAATAATATCCCAAATAAATTACACATCAAAACCAAACATTCGAAGTGTTTATTTATTTTTTCTGTAAAGAAAATTATGTTTTGGTGAGAAAAATGTTGTTTTTTTTTTCTAATAAGTATATCGGTTTTTAGAAAAAAAAAATTAAGATCTTTGAATAATCAATATTTACATAAATAAGTTTGACGTTTGTGCGATGCAAATACTAAGATTATATGTCAAGAAAAACAACAACTATACACATCAATAAACATTTCAAACTTATACGATAAAGATAAATGAAATGAATGATAATCCACATTAAATAAAATTTAATTAAACGGAAAATGAAAATAACAATAATATGAATAAACCTAGGATGACGTCACTTAAAAATATCATAGATAAAGCCCAATTCCCCAAAAATAAACGAAAAAGTCGTTTCTCTGCATAAAACACACTCGATTCTGGGTTCCGATCTAGGTATAAAACTACTGATGTCTTTACCTCTATTAGTCAATATCATTTAGATGTTCATCTTATGGATTTATTGCCTATTTTTCTCTTTTCTTCAATATCTCCATTTCTTCCGATATTATACTAGATAAATAGGAAATGAAATATAAAATATTTTCCCAGTTTCACAGAGAAATCATTGAGTTATTTTGCTAAATGTAAACTCTTTAAGACAATCATGATTAATTATTGTTTTTAATTAATGATAAGAAATTTGAATTCATGACTCTTTTTTTATGTAAGTAAAATATTTCGCCTTTTCCCTTAAGTAAATGTCTTTTAAATATAATACTGAATGTGCGTGATCAGTGGTACATTTCAAAAGGAAAGATTTGAAATGTTTATTTATATTCATTAATGAAAATTACACTTTTGTGAGAAAATGCTTTTTTATGATAATTATTTCGATGCTTATCGATAAATTAAAAAATGATATATTAGCAAGAAGAAATATAGGATGACGAAACTTTAAAGAATATATCGACGATGAAGCCTAATTCACCTAATCAAAAACATAACAAACATAACAAACTAGATTCTGGGTTCCGACCTAGATAAAACTATTGACGTCTTTACTTTTATGAATAAATAACTTTTAAATGTTTAACTTATTGATTTATTGCCTTTATATAAATCTTCCTATGTAATCTATCTGCACGTAAATTTCTCTTGAAGAGAAGACTAGGTAGTCTCCTGCTTTAATTGATACGGCGCTGCATAGATGAAGTTATAGATTATTTAAAAAATCCTGGATAGTGTTTAGTGACAGAACAAAACAAAGTTTGTGAAAAGAGAGTTCTCTATCAAAATTCAAATGCATGTTTGAGAAAAAAAATCGATCCTTTAAATGGTCATTTTATGTATTGTAATATATATATATTATTATGTTAGGGGTTTATGACACATAGTGCATTTGATTATAGTTCTTCACAAATCGATTTCCATTTTACTAATAAAAAGTACTGCAGCGTCGATGTCACGTTAGTTTCAGAAAGGTAATCAAAATAATTGATAGGTTTCTAATTTTTAATCAACTTTTTTTTTTAAATGAAAACATAAATGTCTATGACATTGAATTGGTTGTGTCTCACGATCATAACATCAAATATCTCTTGAAAATATTTTTTTTTCTATTTTCATCGTCATATTTTACCCATGTAGCATTGTATAAAGCGTCTCAGGGAACTAGAAAAAATTTAAAAGTATTTGTTTTAAAAATACTATCGTTCTTCACTAAAGGCGTCACAGCAATAATGGTAGGGCGTTTTTCCTGTTCAATTAACCGTTTATCCGAACCATGGTGAATTCTGACTGATTACAATCCTTTTTAATGTTATTTTCTTAATGAGTAGCATAAAATTTCATATTTTAATCATCTAATACACATAAAGTTCCAGTTTGATAATATTTGCTCGGCAGTGATAGGGCTAATTCTTTTGATAAAAATATCCACTTCTTGTAAAGCAGCAAAAACAGAAAAAATCTATGTTTAAGGCTATATGACTATCTATATACATGTCATATAATAGAATAAGTTTTTGACAGTCAATTAATTGTGTATCATGCTAATGTGTAAAAGAAAAGCAAGGATTTATCAATAACAGGATTAACTTTCAGTTTCATTTGAAAGTGAGTTATATATTTGGTAATAATATTTACATCTCTTACATGTGTGTAATGAAGTATGAAATATGGAGATAACGAACAGATTTCAAGCTCAAAGTCCGTTTAAGCAACACAAATCTGGAGCAGAGCAAACAGGCACCTCCATAAACATTATAGGCGAGATCACGTGCCATTGAGGAGTGTTCACCAGCTGTTCTCCCCTTGTCATGATCTGATAACCCTAAAAAAATCTTTGGAAATTTCAGTATGTAAATAATAGCCTAACGATTAGCATGCATTTTAGTCAGTACGTCAGCATTGTACCTAATGATAAATTGTATTTGTTGATAAGGTGATTGCATCGACCATAGAACCTTCATAATCATGACTTTAAACGGGACTGCCGATATCCTTGTTAGGTGGATACATGTAGCTTAACTCGTTTTAAAAGTTAATCGTACGTAGAATATCTTCTTACGTATCGAATCAACTTGGAGACATAAATTTTACATGCAGTTTTTTATATACATGTAAGTAAGGAATAATGACAATAAAAAAGTCAACACATTTATAATAAAGTTTTGTTGCTGGGTTACCAATAACCTCTTCTTCTGGTAAAATATCTCAATATGAAACATGTCAGACTCTGTGGTGTCTTTTCGTCAAGTTCACTGGGATATATCGAATGGACATATGAATTAAAGTAACTTTTCTTAATAGATAAAAGGTCGTCGTTATATCTACATGTCAAGTTGAAGGCCATAGCAAGTGTTTTTCTTATTTTCATGTGGAAGTTTTTAAATAAATTTTGCGTCTTATGAATGCCAAAATAGGTCAGCTAATAAAGGGTGCAATTTGTACCCATGGGAATTCCGACAGATTGTTGGAAAACTTGATTTCAAAAACAATTACATATTTTCAATCAGAAACTCAAGCGTTTTTAATATCAACTATGTTAATTTATATTATTATATTTTAATATAGAAATAAAAAGTATGTGCAAGCGAAATTACATATTATTTTATAGGCTATGGATAATGGCAGGAGGTAAATCAGGCGTTGTGACACGCTGTCAAGCTGAACAAGGTAGATTTATTTTTTTTTTTTCAAGTAAAACTAATTGAGTTAAACATTGATAAGAAAAACGATATTAAACAGCAATTTCCTAGTTTTCTGATTGCATAATACGTAAAGTATTTTTCAAATGAAAAGCAATAACCGCTTTTAGGTGAAAATTTAGAAGAATGAAAAATTATGAGTCCAAAAACTATGTTAAGAAGCATTAGCAGGAAAATATACTGAAACGCAAAAGAAACGCAACAAGCAGTAATTTACAAATATTTGAGTTTTTTATCTAATGATTTTCAAAAAAGAATACAGTGAGGTAAAACTCGATTTATAAACATCAGAGATTTGATAAAAATGTTAAAATATAATCTTTTAACTTTAGAAAGTAACACATGAATTATAAAACACCCCCACCCCGGCCATTCAATTACAGCGTGCAAGACTGCCATGTACAACAGTTGCAGCTTGATTTCTACGATGCAGTAGGTTCATCAATCTCGAGATCTGAGCGAAAGAAATATTCTTTCCCATTTTTAAATGCCTCTTTTTCAGATGATGAGGTCGAATTTTCTCTAGCCAGGCGCAGTGTAGTAACCCTTTGACTTCCGGTCCAAGGACTGTCATTCATGCTAATGATACGCGCGGGTATGTTAAGGAAGCATATAAGTCAATTCTCTGGAAATTTAGACTTTTTAAAGAAAATTAAGTTTGATAACTTACCAAAACCGCTGATAAATGTAAACTATTATTATCTATTGCATAAAGATAAAAGAGTGTCTAACGCAAAGACGTGCACCACCACCACGGCATCACGTGACTTCTATTAATAGCGAAATTTTCCTTAGTAAAAAAGCTAACAGAACAACAATACCCCGAAGTGTAATAATTTCTTTGAGTAAATAATATAGTTGGAAAACATCTATTTTGCCTAAAAAGTGCTGCTAGAATCCCACTGTCCCGTCAGTAAAATAATAATTCCACACATTCGCACGAAACCTTACCCGATGTTTTGAATTTTATACATATAAACCGAGATTTTTCGTAAAACCATGCTTAACTCGGGATTCTAGCAGCACTTTCCAAGTATTTTAGGAGGCAAACTTTCCATCTGTAAAAATCTTATGTTTTGAAATATACAGCTTATTGTTGTTCTGCTGCATTATTTTTGTCACAAATGACAGAGGAAAGGCCGACCGGGATACGTATATAGCTGACTGTCTTCAAAGAGAATACAATCGATGAAAATAAATTAGCATACCTGTTTTAGTAACTGAACTCCATATGAATTTCACAAAATATTCAGGATATTTGCTTTTAAACTCCATTTTACGTATCTTTGTACATGCCGTCTTAGCCAAATTCTCTTTACACGACATGATCAATTCCCAAGTTACTTGAAGTACACATATGACGTCATCGGTGGTAGATTTTAATCAAAATGACAGATACAGCATAACAAAATAAAAACATTTTATTTTTGTTAATGTTTACACGTTTCTATTCATTTTCTAGAGTTAAATTACATCTCTAAATACGAATATTACGAAAACTTGTATTCTAAAATTGACGTCATCTCGCCTACTATGACGTCATAATGTAGCACTGATTAAGTCAAGGTAGAATATTTTGTATGCTTCCTTATTACCCCTGCGCGTAAGAGCCTGTTGAGGTGTGATGTGTTGCATAGTTGCAACTGCAACTCTCCATCACCTTTATTTTGATATTTTCCAGCTAGAGCAATGGAAATGCGTACTTAAGTCATTTTTAGGAAGCCTTGGCATCGCTTACGGAAAAGAAAAGAGAGTTTATTTATCGTAACATTGCTTCATTACTTATGATGAACAGTTATAAATTCTTAAAACCCCATATTATTGCCAAATATTTTGTTAAACATGCAATTTTTGATTTCTGTTAAGCGGATTCAAACTTAACTTCCGGTAATGGTATGAAAATCATTCAACCGTTAAATTACCGATATTTACAAAGTTGAAGATGTCCTTACTTTTTGGATACAAAATCCTATTTTTAATATTTCCCCCTAAAATAAGATGTTCCGTTTCTTTTGCGTTTCAGTATATAAAAGTTCATATTTCTTATTGATAAAGGTTCAAGATTGCTAGAAACTATAGAGTCTTTAGAGTTTTAAGAAATAAAATTGCTAAAGACATATACCTATGAACTTGAGATGTAAGATACGTAATAAAACATATGGAAACTATGGAAACCATTATGATATTTGTTGTAGATACATCAATTATTACATGGCTATCGAGTTTATATAGAAAATTGTCACAGTGCGCAGCTATGTTAAGGCTGTCCGAAGGCTTAAAATGCATTAGATATATGCTATTTTATTTTGAGATATGTTTTGATTTCAATTTGAAATCTATGTATACATACACAGTTAAGTTGTAAAGAGAGTTGAATAAGGTATTATAAAAAAGCATTTTTGTGATGTCACATGACTGTGTTGATCACGTGACGGAGACTTATAAATTTTCTTAAATGTTGCACAAAAATCGCATCAGCACAAGTGAAAAACAAAATTATTGTGAACGGCTTGTTACATAAATCAATTAAACGTATTCTTGGGCATATATAAAGTGCTGGGGGCAAGTCTGAATTTTATTTCGTAAGAAAATGTTTCAAGAGAAATTCAACTTACCCACATACAAGAGGTCATTTTCCCATCTTCATCGCAATTTATACAAAATGGGATAAATTACATACAATCCCCCAGCAAAATTCAGTTAGAGGACATATTTCTCTAGTAGATTCACACGGAATTGAATATCTTCAATTAATCCTTATTATTCACTTGTGCCAGTCTAATATATATAAGATTTATAAATTCTTACTCTATCTACGGACGTGTAAGGGGAAGCATTTCACATTCTTTTTTGTAATTGTTTGAATACGTTCATGTTAGGTAAGAAAAAGGAATAACGATATAATACTGCAAATATTCACCATCATAACAGCCTTAAAACAACAATCCAGACACATTATTTAAACATCAACGTAAAAAAAATTCTACATGTGATGTGAATGGAATGTAAAAGTTATGACACTTTCCCCGTCATGTCTGCTCATATTTGCAGTGACTTGACGTCATATGCCATTATGACGTCAAATCTAGTTAGTTCAGAGAAGTTACTACGGCTGGTACACTGTGACATTCTTCGGACAGCCTTTTCCTAGCCGCGTGAAACTTATATGCATGTAACGTCTGGTAAGGTAGATTAGTATTTATATAATCGTGCTCCAAAGGTTAGATTTATTCATAATCAGGAAAAGTTTTAGAAACGCTACAGAGGAGAGAATCTATATAGAATTATACTTTTCAAAAGATGACAGACTGCATTAATTATATTTATACGAAAGTATGCTCAAGTTCTGTATAATATGAATAGAATTCCTAAGATTATGGATTGAGGCTGAAGGCTCAAATATTTGGTTTCAATTATGTGACGAGGTCATTGCTCTGGTCATTTTTAAGCTTAACATTTTTCAGACTTTTATTTGAATCCTCCAATACCATGGAAAAGGGCCCGAGTAAGCAGGTATATAGAACAATTTTATGAGTTACGTGGACATACCACTATAAATATAATTGAAATCTGCTTCATTTTGTATTTTAGTACATTTAAGCAACAGAGCACATATTTAAAACGTTGCATTCTATACAACCATTTTCAAAAATATTTTTTTTCAATAACATTTTATTTAAATTAAAGGTGCTTGGACACAGATTTGAAGTTAATATTTTCTCAGATTTTCTGTATAATTTCATGACTTAAATGTTGCTATAGCATTTCATACTAAAATATAATAAAAATCTTATTTCATCTCGAAGTTATTGAAACTTCAAAATTCTGGACGCGTTTGATTGAGACATCCTTGCACTTTCACAATTTTTTTATTTTATTCTTAATACTTAAGAAAAGTGGCTGTTTTGTTGTGTATTAATGAAAAGTATTAAAACTATAATCCAGAAAATTCAGAATAGAAATGTTCGAAAGCAAAACCCACTCACAGTATTGTCAGTCCGTGCTCAGTGGTGTGTGCAGACTTTAACAATTGAACACACCCGGTGAATCGTAAACATTAACAATAACAGAGCTCGTGCCCTGTTTACAGAAACAGTTTACGTTTCACGGGTATATTCAATTTGTTAAACTCTGTACACAACACTGAGCACGGGCTGACGATATTAGTGAGGGGGTTTGCTTTCGCACATTTCTACTCTGAAATTTCTGGATTATAGATGTAATGTTTTTCATTAATACAAAACAAAATCGCTTCTTTTCTTAAATATTAAGGATAAAGATAAAATTTGTGAAAGTGCAAGGATGTGTTAATCAAACGCGTCCAGGAATTCGTAGTTCCAATAATTTCCAGATAAAATAAGTTTTTAATTATATTTTCGTGTGAAATGCTATTGCAATATATAAGTCGTGATATTATACAGAAATTTTGAGAAAATATTAACTTCAAATCTGTGTCTAAGCACCTTTAAGTGATAGAATATTATTTTGCAGCCCAGCAAGGTTTAAAAAACGATCACATATCCTGTATCCTTTTTATGTCACTTTCGAATATGGTGCAGCAGAACTGAACCTATATAAACGCATTTCATCGGAGCTGCAGTATATTTGGAGGAAAGAATTTGAAGCACTAAAGGCAGTTCCTGAACCAAAAGATGGCATATATTTCATCACTGATGACAGAGAAAATGTCAAGAAATTATGTCTTGAATTCTTCCAATTTTCAACCAAAACAACCCATTGCAAGCAATGTATGAAATGAAAAGTTTTTCTGTATGTTCAACAAAATTTTATTTTCAAGGTAGATAATCTAAATGTAACGGGGAAATTTTGGCATTTTAGGCGAAGAGCAGTCCATTGATAAAGAATCTGTTTTTGTGTGTTATCTCGGAGATTCGTTTTGGGAAGATAAGGTAAAGAATAGTTCTTAAGAACTTAGTAATCAATGACTTTTATCAATTACTAATTGATCATTAATAATCATACATTTGTTTTTTTTTTTTTTTTTCAGATATCCTTTGATTCTTTAAATTCCTTGGTGAAGGACATTGACAGATCATTGCTTTTTTTCATAGTCGATTCTCATTTTGATATTGAAAAGAAAGTCAAGTTGGTCGTCAGGAAAGCCCAATGTCATGCATCACATGTCCTGAGAGTCAACGCTGAAAAATCAATAATATATGAGAAATGCTACTTCAAATTAGAAAAGACAATTGACAATTCTTTATCGCTTTTAAAAGCAAAACCAACAACAAGACAAGTCAGCGGATTTGTCAAACAATTGGAAGAACTTAAAGAAAAACTTTTCGCCAGAAAATTCCGTGTACGCTCAAAACTTACAAAAGAGTGTGTTAAAAAGATTAGAGCGTAGGTATTATAAAACCTTTTTAAATTCAGTAATTTTTCAAAGCAAGAAAATAATGAAACATGTTTTGCTTTTGCTCTTAAGACTTTAGGATCTGTTGAACATTAAAAATTAAATTATTTTAAATATTATGGATATTTTAAAATTATTATTTTTTATTTATTCAGTGGAAGAAAATATGGAGTCGTTGGATACAGGCTTTGTGATGGGACTCTACACATTTTTTATAGTAATCAGAATCCAAATCTCAGAAACAAACTCCAAAAAGCAATAGAAACGCATTTTCAAGGAGAGATAGAATTTCAGTTGCTAAAAGAAGCATTAAATCCTCAGTGTGTGATCAAATGTGGAGGTGAAATTGTAAATGAAGAAAAAAAGATTCAAGGCAGTTTAGGAATGTTTGGAGAAATTTCAAGTACACAAAACCTCGATGACACTTTGTCAAACGTTGTAGCCATTACATCCGGTCATCTTTTCAAAGAAGGGGATATTGCAAAAGTCCAACATCTCCAGGTTCTTAAAACCATTGGCCGCTGCATTTGGCCGAATGAAAATGTGTATGAAATGGGAAGATCAGTTGATAACGTGCATGATGTCTCCATTATATCAGTACATAAATCAGTACTTGGATTGTTACTGAAAACTATTGAAGGATTAAACGAAAGTATTCATGTTTATGAACAACCTCTTTCAACACTAACCGACAGAATGGTATTTAAGTATGGTGCGACTACATCAAAAACAGAGGGATTCGTCCAAAAAGTAAGCGACTTTGAATTATTTGGTGGCGAGGTTATGGTAATCTTGCCACATATTGCTTTTGAACAATTTTCCGACAAAGGAGACAGTGGATCTATCATTTTGACGAGAGTTGGAGACAATCTGTACGCAGTTGGTATTATATATGGCGGGGAGTTGATGCTTCTGAACGCGGAATGCTTCAGTGCAAAAAAAGAAACAATCGCAGCTAGCCTTCGAGTGGCTCTTGATCGTTTCAATAAGGCAACTACAAAATCTATCACATTCGACAAAATATAGTGTGGCTTGAAAATTTATCAAGACATTTAATCAGGTATACCCGTCATGAACTATTTATTTACCAGATGACAAATTTTTCTGTCGACATGCGTTATATGCCGACAACAGGTAGTATAAGAAGAACAACGCATCAAATGAAAACTAACATTTTCTATCAACGATATCTTAATTGAATGGAAACTGTGTAACAACCCAAAATCATTAACATTGAAATAAAGCTTTATTAGAGTACACATATGTGCATGATATTCCAGTACCGGCTCATGCCATTTTGCCCTGAAAATCATTATCTTTTCCAAATCATTTTTTTTTTTAAATCTCGCACCTATAGATTTTTCTCCTTAAGTCTGTTTGAGAATAATTTGTTTGTTTTTTTACGCCACCAATTATAAGTAAAACGCCACGAATTCAGACCTTATTCTTGGTCCTACTGGTCATCCAAACATTTAACAGTCTCGTATGAGGACCTTCTTGTCGTGTTATTCGAATTGGCGACGTACGGGTCTACTCCTTACTCAGCTATTTTACAAGTGTAACCGTCTTAACTCTGTACCGTGTGTGAGTCCACATCTAATAAAGATTAAAGATACACACAACACTTTGAAATCTCCTCCTGAAACCTGTGGTTTTTCCCTTACACTAAAATATGAAATTAAAATTCAAACACTGTTTTCTTTTTTTCCTATTGTGATTGTACCCGTAAAGACAGATTATTGTGCTCAACTTTATAGTATTAACTCAAAGATCAAAATTAACTTGCCTACGAATGTTCAAAAAAGCATGTTTGAAAATTTTGAAAACTTTTTTCCCCAAGAAAATTGTATTGTACATCAAAATTACCAACATTTCTATTTACAGATGAAGATAAAGAATTCGATTATTCTGAAAACCGTTTGTTGATTAATGGGATTCATCCATGCACATATTTTTACATGCTGAAAATTTCTATTCATTCATTTTTTTTCCTTATCCCATTAGTTTTTAGTGTGCAACTTTTTGCTATTAACTTTTAAATAAAGTTTAACTTATATACAGCTTTTTCAAATTATGTTTCAAAATATCGATTTTTTTCTCTTTTTCCTCTCTCAATGGTATGTATCTTGCGATTGGGGATGTCTACTCTTCCTAGGCACTTAACTAATCCCATCAGTGGAATTCCCAGGGGTCAGTGTTCATGCCCTGATCTGGAAATTTGAATTGTTTGTATTTTTGATGTGATCGTTCAGTGTTGATTATCTTTACCTTTTTCAATGCAGCTATGTTTATGACAATTCTATATACAGATACAGTATTTTTCTTACTTTATTCTAACTTTGCAAATTTTTAATCAACTTTGCCTTAAAAATTTTTTCACTTAATTCTATATTATACATATTATCATATATTAGTACATATCGTTATATGTTATGCAGTAAAATTATCAATTAAATTATTATGTATTTACTTGATATACGTATTGTACGATTTTTAGAATTAAGGTAGTATGGGATACCTCCACGTTACGACGTATTTCCGTTTGAAGTATTGTTTTGATTTGCATGAGTGCTTATTATCGGATCAAAATTTGTAGATACACCGTTTAAAAGAATACTCTGAAACTATTTCAATGCAAGTTCTCACAAGTCGGCATTTAAAGTAAAAATACACACACAAAATCACAAGTACATGTATATGAATTTACTTATAATTGCACTATGGACATTTAAAAACCAAACCCTTGTAAAATATTTAAAGGTTGCTGCTTATGAACACTTTTAAGCAAAAGCTGTATTTCAATTGTTTGAGTAACTGTACTGCATCTTGTGTGCGATGAAGCATGGATAAGTGCGATTACTTCACATTGTGCTGAATTATGACCAATCAATTATAAAGTTAACCAGAGCTGGTCTTCTTTCTTATTTAATTCAAGAAGTAAGTGTTTGGTCACAAATCAGCTAGCTGTTAAACTTTTAGATGAATGCAATTGCTCTGAACAAGGCACGTCTTGGAAAGCGATTGTCCATGCATTGTTTTCAAAACAGTTCAAAGTTGAAACTACCACTGCGACAAAGTGCAATTTTTTTAAGTTTTTGGGAAAATGCTCATCATTTCTGAAATAGCATCCAGTTTTTTTTCAACCCTTGGAAAATAAAGAAGGATAACTCTTTCGTTCGGATCTTTTAATTCAAAAAAATTTAAATGCTTCTTATATCCATTTATAAATATACTTTCAATTTGTTTATTTCACTTTGCTAAAATATTAAGATACATTTTAATTGTAGACTTTCATGAAATTTTATCCATCTGTTTTCAAGAAATGAAGTTTTCCAAAAACTTTTTTGTTGAAATAAAAAAAAAAAATACTAAGACATATTTTTTGTAATTTTTGTTTTTATATACACTCTATATTAGTAAACTGTCTATGATATTAAGCTTTTGAAAAAAGAATTATATAAGAAAAAAAATCCTTTTTGTATTTCTCATTAAAATAATTTTAAAAAAATATTAAAATTACAACTTAACATACTGAAGGGTGGGGGTATTTCAAATCCTTTTAATTTGGGTAAATAAATATATAGGGGAAGTTTCGTTTGGTATCCCATACCACCTTAACACGTTTAACTTGATTCATACTATTTACTTTTTGAACTATTGATTTTTAATAAACATTTCTCTCAATGTTCTTTTTTATTCCGACGGATTTTTAAATCACTCTGTTTCAAGCACAGAGAGGTAAGCCAGCTGTCTATAAAATGCATGATATGTATTTACATTTCCAACTGCTGCTTAAAATGTATACAAGGGATGAAGCATGAAACCCTTCAATTTCAAATTTTATAGGGTCATACACGTCTTCTTAGACAATTTTAATCCTAACAATTACATGCATGTGACGATTTAGTAGTATAGAGTCTCCTATACACAAAATACCATGGCGTGGTAGTTAGAGCGCTTACCCAGGAGTCGCGGGTAAGAAATTTATCCGTTGCGGGTTCGAATCCTACTGCGGGATGATGATACCAGTTCTCCTGGTGAGACCGTCTAAACCGAGTTCCTTGTCACAGTAGATGCTGGCTTAATAAAGATTCCTCATTGGTCCTGAGTACCGAGTATAGGTCAAAAGAGCCTAGTACATTAGCTCATGTAAAATACAAAAAAAATAAAGTTTGCCTATCCTCAGTATCAATGCAGGAATATTCATAAAGTATAAGATCCAAAGTCCTTATATATGTAAGCATTTGGGCGGATCCAAGCACCTTATGCTGTTATGTAGCATCCGAACCTATTCCGTCTCCGGAAAACAAACAATTTTCTCCACTTTTCATTCGGTTTTGGGGAAATTCAATGTGGCCACAAGCATCTACCACAAAAATATTTTTACCAGAAATACATAAACATAAAAGGAGTTGATTTAAGGTTTCATTCTGAGCGTGGGCTGTGACCACATTGAATTTTTTAAAATTCAAATATTCAGTCGTCTGCTTTACCATGTGTTACTGTGATGTAACACCTTTGACGTACAGTACATGAACCTGCAATATGTAGATCTGCATTGGATCGGCACTGTGTAAAAGACGAGTATTCAGAGAAAAATTATAGTATTTAAATGTACGTAAACTTTGTAGTAAAGCTGAATGATATGCATGAATAGCTTCTACGTTCTGAAAAACATATGCTAAGCCTCAAGTTGTACATTTGTTGATCCATCGTTTTCGCTTTCGCTGAGACGGCTGTCGGGTACAAACAAAACATAGAAAAGGTCGCTTTTAAACATCAAATCTGAGAATGTGTATTGTGAAAAATGTACAAATTCAAAAATATATATTTAATGTCAATTTTGAGGTAAAATTTAGCTCGTACACTAATCGACTAAAAATAGAACTTTTCATTACTTACATTGACAACATTCAATTACTTGCCAAAATTTCTATTACGCTTTTGTTGATTTTTCATTAGACTTATTTTATACCAAACGTTGTTTAAAAAAAATAGATATATAATATAATGGATTTTACATGATAAATATCATGTGGAAAATAATATTTTCGATTTTTCTTCGCTTAAAAGATATTTTTAAATGCGTAAGACTTAATGTTGCTACTACTGGCACGTGTTGAAATCTCGATATGAGTGAAATATTCTTGGAAGGAACAAACAAGCAGAATCTCAATATTTGGAGAGCACATACTTAGTGATCATTGGAATGAAAAAGTTTTGCTTGCATGGGAAGCACACACAACAATCTCTGGGGCAGATCGTACTACTGGACTATTTTAGGTCACCTTAGTCACTTAGGTGACTTATTCGTTAAAATTTAAACTTTTGAACATTTTAGCTTTTTCTCTGGAACCACTGAACCAAATTTCAACCAAATTTGGCACATAGCATTTATGGGTGAAGGGGAGTAAAAATTGTGAAATTCATGGCCCATACCCCCCCCCCCGGGGCCTGAGGGTGGGGGCTAAAACCATTAAATATAATGCAATCTTTAAAAAAATCTTCTTTACTCCTGGACATCAAGCAGTCAAACTGCTGGCATGATTGTAATAAGCATTGAGTTTTCTACAAAAATTGTGAAATTCATGGCCCCATAGTCAAAAGCTCTGTTGCTAGGGTGTGGCTCTAATGAATATATAGTGTAAATGTATTAATTCTTTAAAAAATCTTCTCCGCTGCTCTTGGGTATTTAGCCAATGAACTAAGTACATAGTTATGATCAGGAAGAATGCTTCTTCCAAAATTGTGAATTTCATGGCCCCTAGGTCAGGGGTTCTGGTGTCAGGGCGGGGCTCTAATGAATTTATAGTGAAAATACATTAATTCTTTGAAACTCTTCTCCTCTGCTCTTGTGTATTAAACCCATGAACTAAGTAAATAGTTTTGATGAGGAAGAATGTCTCTTCCAAAATTCTGAATTTCATGGTCCCAGGATCAGGGTTCTGGTGTTAGGGCGGGGCTCTAATGATTATATAGTGAAAATGCATGAATTGTTTGAAAATCTTCTTCTCTGCTCCTAGGTATTCTCTGCGCCTAGGTATTAAACAAATTAGCTTTGTACATAGTTATAATGAGGAAGGTTGCCTCTTCCAAAATTGAGAATTTCATGGCCCCTGGGTCAGGGGTTCTGGTGTTGGGGCAAGGATCTAATGATACATGTAATATAGTGAAACTGCATGAATTCTTTGAAAATCTTCTCCACTGCTCCTGGGTATTATGTTGATAATCTAGGTATATAGTTATGATAAATAAGGATCCTTCTAGAATTGTGATTTCTGAGGGTTGTAGGCAAAACATGAAAACATCAAAAGAATAATAATAAAAGTTTTGAGGAAGTAATTTGAAGTTAGATAACACTGCAAGAATAAGCTGACGTCACAATGCTCCTGAAGTCATGATGACATCATCAGTGCATAAATGTATCGCAGGAAATTAAAACTGGCGTCAAAAACTGCATGAAAATTTTCCGAGGGGTGGGTAGTATACAGTTATGGAATCGGTATGAGGGAAATAGCAAATTCATGGTTCCCCAAGGGAGGAAACTATTTCCCTCGGCGGCTTCGCCGCCTCGGGAAATAGTTTCCAGCCGAGGGGAACCATAAATTTGCTATTTTCCTCATACCCATTCCATAACTGTTTTATTATACCGAAACAATCATGGGAGATTTATTAAACTAGAGACGAGTAGTTCAGAAAATAATCACAAATGCATGTGATTAAAAATGTTGTAAGATAACTAATACATCAATACCGAGGAAAATAAAATTATTAAACAATATAAAATAATTTTACTGACACTTCGAAGGATTATCGTTGTCTTCATTTTGCTAGAATTCCAGTATGATTTTGACATCGCATGTCGAAATGTTTTGACGTCATAGTAACATTGCTAATAACATTACGTCACAGACTCAAGATTCCTTGAACGCTCCGCCCATTGGTCACTTTCATTGGTTAAAATTTTTAATAAATATTCATGAGGGAATCGTCCCAGGGAGTAGCTCCGATTTTTCGGGGAGTAGTCCTCTGATGAGGGAAATAGTATCTTCTCAGAGAGAAAAAGACAGTTTTATGGTATTAATTTTATATACAGTAATAACAGTAGAGGTATAATAACACAAGCTATACAGCGGGGTATAGCTTTGCAATGCGTGGAAATTTTCGGACTGTACAAGATAGTTATTTTTACTTTCTTAACTTTATATAGGAAACATTTTAACAGAAGAATAAAAAGATGGAATATACATGGAGGTATCGACAACACATGGAAAGATAACAATTGGAAAAAATAAAACTTTCTGTGTACGTACGACGTAATTTGCTTAATATCTAAATGCTGGATTGAAAAGGATTATAAATTGACCATCCGAATTTTAAAGCATTTGTTTTTCCAAGCAAAACTAGATCTACTATATATATAAAAAA